ATAAATGAAGCCAAAGATTGGTTCTTTGAAAACATCAACAAAATTATTCAATCTTCTGCTAAAAATTACTAAGAAATTCCAGAAATTAACAAAATTTAAAATTTTGCTCACTGATCTTCAAAAATTAAAAGGATTATAACAGAATACTATAACTTTATGCCAACAAATTTTATTTGTTGGCATAAACATATTTATTTATAAATACGCCAACAAAATAGGAAGTTAAGTAAAAAGATCAAACTCCTAGAAAGAAAAATTGAATCAAGAAGATACAGAAAACATAAGTAAGAATATAGCTAGAAAATAAGTCATTAAAGATTTTCTCACAAAGAAGTCCAAATGGCTAAACTGGTAAATTCTACCAAATATTTAAAGAATAACACCAAACTTAAAAAACTCTCTTTAGAAAAGAGAGAAGAATGCAACACTTCCAATTCATTCTATGATCCTGATACTAAAAGATCTCTTTTCTCTTACTTCTATCTGTATGTATGTCCATTTGTCTGTTTCTCTCTCTCTCCCCCCTACACACAAACACACCAAAAAAAAAAAAAAGCTATACACAATTCAAAATCAGATAAAATCTTTACCAATGTGTTAATACACTGAATACTGGAACACATATTAAATATCAAGTCAGATTTATGCTAGAAAGTCAGTATAATGTATGAAGAGTAACTAACATATTCTGCCATATAGGAACAATAGAGAAAAAAATTAGATCACATTGGTATCTCAGTAGACAAACACATACACAAGGGCATTTGACAAAACCCAACATACAGTATCAAAATTCTCAAAAACTCTGAATACTTACTCAAGCTGATAAAAGGTACCTGCAAAATATCTATAGCTAACCTCCTGCTACAGATAAACACCAATTCTACTCAAAATGGAGGGTTTTAGCCAGTACATTAAGGTAAAACAAGATTTAAAAAGCACCCAAATAGTGGCCATGGTGATGCACCTCTAATCCCAGTGACTTGGAAGGCTGAGGCAGGAGGATCTCAGGTTCAAAGCCAGCCTTACCATCTTAGTGAGGCTCTAATTACTGAGATCCTGTCTCAAAAATTTTTAGAAAAGGGGCTAATGATGTGACCCAGTGGTTAAGCGCCCCCGGATTTTAAGTAAGTAAGAAAGACTGGGGGTGTAGCTCAGTGGTAAAGCACCATTAAGTTCAATTCCCAGTATCAAAAAAAAAAAGAAACATCCACATTGAAAAAGTGTAACAATGAAGATATCCTGAAAAAAACACATAAAAATAACCAAAGACTAAATGAATAAATAAATAAAACCTAATGGAAATAGTTACAAAGTTTAAAAAATCCAAGATCAATATACAAACTTTTAACTATAATTTTATCCTCAAATAGAATCAGGATAACATTAAGAAAACAATTACACCTAAAATGCAATCAACATTAAGAAGGAATAAATTTAACAAAAGCATAAGACTTGTACACTGAAAAGTACTAAATGCTATCACGAAAAATTATAGAAGATCTAAGTAAATTAAGAAAAGCTTCCCTTCCTGTGATCATGGATTAGAAGACTCAATATTATTAATAATTCTACTCAACTGATATAAGATTCAACATAATGCAAACTAAAATTCCAGCAAGTTATTAACAAACAGATCCTAAAAAGTTAGAGTGCCAAAGTAATTTGGGGAAAAAAAAGTGAAACTCAAACTCATATTTCTCCATTTTAAGAAGTAGCATAAAGCTAAACTAATCAATATGATATTGCCAAGAGCAGAAATATGTATTAATAAAACAGCAGAAATAAATTATTACTATAGTCTCAACTAATTTTCAACAAAAACAAAGAAACTTATAGAGAAAAAAATATTCTTTACAACAACCAATATTAGAACATTTTTCCAGATTCCTCTGCAAAAAAAAAAGAACTTCACACTGTAAACAAAAAGTAACCCAAAATGGGACATAACATGAGAATTAAAATGTCTAGAAAGAGACTGTGATCTTTCATCAGGCAAATCTGTCTTAGATGCAAATCATGCATTGATAAGTTATACAGAATTTTTAAAAGAAACACTTTAATTCATAATAAAATAATCCAATTTTTTAGAAATAGCAAACAATTTGATTAGACTTTTCTCTAAAGATACATGAATAGCTAACAACAAAATGTCCAACATTATTAGTCATTTTGAAATTTAAGTCAAAACAACAAGATGCAAAACCACCAGAATGTCTAGAATAAAAGACTGAAAATAACCTAAGCACTGGTGAAAATAGAAAGAAACTAAAACATTCAAACATATCTGGTAGAAATTAGAATAGTATGGTCACTGGAAAATAACATGGTACCTTCAAAAAAGTTAATGGAGGGGCTGGGGTTGTGGCTCAGTGATAGAGTGCTTGCCTAGCATATGTGAGGCACATGGGTTCAATTCTCAGCACCATATAAAAATAATAAAAAGGTTTAAGAAATAGAAAGTTTAAATGGAAACTTTTCAAACAACCCAGCAATTTAGATACTCAAAAGTATCTAACAAAGGGGGAAAAAACACAAGTCCACACAAAGAAAAAAATATCCAAAATATCCCACCAACTGGTGATTGAATATGCCTATGATGAAAAATTATTACCCAATTAAAGAGAAAAACTAGGACATGAATGAATTTCAAAATGACATGCCAAATGACAGAAGTCCAAAAACAAAAAGACTACATATTAGTAGCATTTTCCAGTAAATGGATGGAACTGGAGACTCTCATGTCAAATTAAATAAGTCAACCCAAAAAAAAAAGGTTGAATATTCTCTCTGATATACAGATGCTGACTCAGAATAGGCAGGTAGGGTGGAGGGGAGGTTCACTGAATTGGACAGGGGAAAATAAGAATGGGAAAGACAGGGGTAGAATGAATCAGACATAACTTTCCTATGTTCATACAGTAAATACATGACCAGTATAACTACACACCATGTAAAACCACAAGAATGGATAATTATACTCCACGTATGTATGATGACAAAATACAGTCTATTGTCATGTTTAAATAAAAAAGGAAGAGAGAAAAAGAGAGAAAGAAAGAAAGAAAGGCTACATGACAGGATTCCACATACATGAAACCTCAATAAAAGGTTTATCTCTAAGAGACAAAAGTTTATCTGTAAGATAAACTTAGGAAAGAAGGAACTTTTATGAACTTTTATGAATGCTCTAACCCTCAATTAAGCTGAGAGACAACTCTAAATATTGAATACAACACAATACTCACTATATGATATTAAAATTATATCTCAATAAAATTTCTGATTTAAAATTAAAGTGAATGACACGTAGGAAAAGGGACCATTTTGATGGTTTTCCTTAGGTAGTTCAAATGCCTTGCTCAGTGTATGGCACACAGTAGACATTCAAATCTTTTCTGAGTTAAAATATATATGTGGAGCATTTACTTTTCAAAAGCACATGTATTGGGGCTGGGGATGTGGCTCAAGTGGTAGCGCGCTCGCCTGGCATGCGTGCGGCCCGGGTTCGATCCTCAGCACCACATACAAACAAAGATGTTGTGTCCGCCGAGAATTAAAAAATAGATATTAAAGAATTCTCTCTCTCTCTCTCTCCCACTCTTTCTTTAAAAAAAAAAAAAAAGCACTTGTATTAACTGTTGACTGCCTTCTGGTACTATTCTGGACAGTTTACACCAGCAATGAATACAGGCAAACAGGATCCCTAGTATTTTTGCATGCATATTTTAATGACATGAGACAAAGAGATGCTATATAGAAAATAAAACAGGATAGGGAAGACAAGATGCCTTATAGGGTACTTGAAGTCAGGTAGTTGAAGAAGAGCTCTGAAAGAAGGCAGTTATAAAAAATGAGGCAAAAATATTAAGGTGGCTGCATGTAAAGGAAAAACATCACTCCAGACAAGACAAAAGAATAATGGCTTGGCATGTTTAAGAGACAGAAGATGGCTATACTAGCTGAAGCATAATGAGGAATGGAACAAGTATTATGAGTCAGAGTACTATCACGTGGCCAAATTGAGTAGAAGTCTCCAAAATTAGAGTAATAAGTTTAGATTTCATTCTAAGTATCACTTAATACCACCATTAGTTAAGTTTTATGAAATGTGCATACCTCTCCTATAAAAAATTTTCCAATAGGGACATTCCACAATTCTTTAATAAGTTAATAACTGAATATGACCTAAAGCTTATGTCTATTATCAATGATTTAGATTTAAGCAGGAATGAAAGTGTACACCTGTAATTTCAGCTACACAGGAGCCTGACATAGAAGGAACATAAGCTGGAGGCCAGTCTGGGAAACTTAAAACACGTTCAGAATAAAAAAATTAAAAGGCCTGGGGATGAAGCTCAGTGGTAGACTGCTTGCTTTGCATAAGCAAGGCCCTGGATTCAATCCCCAGTACCACAAGAAAAATAAAAAGATTTAAATTCAAAATCTGTTGTAATGCTTGTCAGATTCTGTACATTATATACTTGATTTCTATTCTACTATCTTATAACAATATTAAGAAGGTCTGATTGTTTCCTATCTAACAATTATTTCCCAAATGCTTTAATTTGACCTTTTAGTAGATAATATGCTTTCTTCTTTGACAAGCTAATTTCTATGTCCTCTACCGCTTTTGGGCAGGGTTGGGATTGAATCCAGAGGCACTCTACCAATGAGCTACATTCCCAGTCTGATTGATTGATTGACTGATTACTTGTTTACTTTTTTATCTACTTATTTTAGCAACAGGGTCTAAGTTACAGAGGCTGGACTTGAACTTGCAATTCTCCTGCCTCAGCCTCAATCCCTGGGATTACAGGCATGCACCACCAAGCTTCAGCCTTCTATCACTTATAAAGATTTTTATAATAAAAACTCCTGCCTCAGTTTAATGCTTTGCTTTCCCCAAAACTATACCCCTAAGGCCTATCAAGAATGTTAAAAAGCATTGGCATTTCAGACATTCTAGCATCTTTTGAAATACACAGGAAGGAGCTTACTTCTCCGGCATAATAAAGTGCAGCAAGGACCAGAGCTCCTTGAGGGAATTCTGAAGAGGGGTTCCCGTAATCAGGAGCCTATGGTTGGACTTGAAATCAATCAGAGTTTTATATAATAAAGAGTCATCATTCTTCAACCGATGGGCTTCATCCACTCCCAGAAAGGCCCAGTTAATACTGCCCAGCACAGTCTAAAGTAGAAACAAAACACAACGAGCCACCAAGTCAGAAAGGAACCCAAAAGTGCTTTCAAAGTGTTAATCATCTCTGTACAAATACCATCACAAAGGTGTACCTAGACACATTTATTCTTCAGTCTTAATATATAATAGGACTCTCAGACACATTTATTCTTCACTGATTTAGGCCTCTTCCATTTATTCTCTTAGTTTCCAGATTGGTATCTAATCAAAAGAGTATATCAGCTAAAAAGTAAAAGTGGATCTCTTACAGCAGGTACTATTACTGCATGTCCCCCCTCACCCAAAAAAAAAAAAAAAAAAAAAATTGGTATGCTGAGCAAAAATAAAATAAAAACCATGATTTTGCATTTTTTTAATTAAGATTGTTTTCTTTCCTAATTAATTACCTTCCCAATTTTGAAGCACAGAAGTCACCGGATTGAATTTATTTGTACTTACTATTAACATATAAACCTCTCAGTGATATAGACAGGAGATATTTTAAGAGCTTAATTTTTCTCAGACATTTCTAGAAAAATACTTCCAACAATGATATGATGGGAAATGCTCAAAATAGCAACCTAAATTCCCCTTCAACTTAAAGGTTCTGCTTTCTATTTATAACCTTAATATTCTTTGAGAAAGTTTTTTTCATTTGGCAGCACAAAAAAATAACATGACAAATGGGAGTTTAAAGGCACTAGTATTTGGACAAGTCAAACTAAACAAGATTTAGCCTCTTAAGTATCAATTACACACCTTATCTTTTAAAAGGATCTCATATGTTGTTATAAGTGCATTGAACTTGAGCCTTTTGGTTTGAGAATGAATCCATTCATATTCCCGTATCTATAAGAGAAAATGGCAATTAAGACACAATTTCTGCTTCTACGTTTTTAAATCATACAAGTCATATGACAGATGCAATAGAAACATGTCAAATAAAAAAACAAATCTGATCAGAATTTAGTAAATAGCCAATATATTCTGAATTAAGAAACCAAAGTATAAACAGTAAGAAAATTAAAACATGGATCACTAAGCAGTAAAAACTTTATTGTCAGAATTTAAATAAACTGACTAAGACATATTTGTCAAAGAAAATTCATTTAATTCATCAGCAATAGAGTTCCCAGATCCCTAAAATTTTTTAAAAGAAAAGCCATTTAGTTATTCTTTGTGTAGGGCAATACTTTAAGAAGTAAAACAAATTCTAACTTCTAGCTCTATAAAAATTTCATTTTATCATAAAATAGATATGTGTACCCCAAGAAAAAGAAAAAGGAGGCTTACAGGATGAAAATATAATTTATCATGAATAGGAAATAATGTCAATGTAAAGGAACACAAAAACTAACATATCTGCATAGAAGTATGACCATTCAGCAAACACAATGACTAAAGATAAAGTTCCTGCAGTTTGTCAAATTGGAAACCAGCAATCTGGACAATAAGTGCTTGCAGGAAGATCACCACCAAACAGAAAAAAAGATTAAAGAACACTTCACTAACTCATCAATCTTTCAGTTCACTTTCTTTGTTTACCTTCATCCTTAGAAACAGTGTTTAAAGCTGTTTTGCACAACGTTCTTTTTCTCTTTTAATACTTAACAAATAAATTAACAAAGCTAACAACTACTATATTTTTAGTCAAAATCAACCCAATGAAATCTGCTAGGGTTTATAAGTTAGGCAATTTTAATGAAAGTATTTAATAAATATAAATTTGAAAGCATGATTATGTGATTATAACACACATCTAAAATGTGTGAGGATTCCTAATGGCTTGCTCTTACTGTAAGGGATCTCCCCCAAAACAAGTTTACATATAGTAGTAAAAGACGAAAGCTCTGGGACCAGATACATCTGTGTCCCATCTCCAATTCTGCCATATTCTAGCTGGTCTAAGAACAAGTCTTCTCTGGGTTAATGTTTCTTGAGTCAGTTGGAAAGACTATCACAAAGGTTACAGGTAATATACATAAAACCCACACAAGGCCTTGCACATGCTTTTTTAAAAGTTAGCTATTATGAAGGAAAGATCTGCTGAGCAAAAACAAATCTGCCACTGTGTTCTAAATTCATGACACCCAATATCAAATTTGCTAGCAAAATATTCTCATTTCTGCAACCCTAAAATATCCTTTGAATTTACTTCTTCTTTGTAAGTTATATAACCTCACCATTTGAAAAGGTCAGGAAACAAATTCTAAGAACATGACTATTTTCAGGAATGTATCTCTACTCAAACAATATTAACTTTATCTATAACATATCAACTCTATTTTGTAATTTTGTATCTTAAAGGTATAAAAAAGAACAGAGAAGAAAAATAACACTCAAATACAGATAAGTTCTCATTCATGTATTTACTGTTTCACTTCGTTAAACACTAATCATATGTTTCAAAGAATATCTGAGCTGCGTTTATTGTTATACACAAAACTCCTAATATTAGGAATATAGCACAGTGTCACAATAATAATTTTCCCTAAGTCCTGACCAATAACTCTACAATGGGTTTAGATCAATGTCCAATATACATTTATAACACAGATTCTATCCCAACTCTTTTTGTTTACACACCGTATTTCTGCTCATCAGGTCACCTATGTAAACCACTACGTTAATCTCTGGTGCCCAGATTTCAAACTCCCTCTGCCATGAGGTGAGGGTGGATAAAGGGACGACTATAAGAAAGGGTCCATACAGCTGGTGTTGGTGGAACAGGTAGGACAGGAATGATATGGTCTGGATGGTCTTTCCTAGGCCCATTTCATCAGCAAGAATTACACTGTTATTTCTGCAGAAAAGAAAAAAGTAAAAACAAGGCAACCATTAGTTCAAATGATTTATAGTACATTCAAGATGTGAACTACTATGACTGCCTGGTCAGACTACATTCTTTATTTTGCAGTTAGGATTATGAATTATATTACCTTCCTTAAATAATATAATTATTTTCCTGTTAATAGAGAAGGCAGAACTTATACACACATATAAGTTTATATTTGCATCCCATAAACAGAAAATACAAGCAGACCGGTTATAGCCACTACTGGTGAATCCTACAGTCTGCCACTCACATGTCTTAGCTCAAATTACCCACACTATTCTTCTACATGCTACTGGGTTAACGAAACATACACTATTCCCTAATCCAACATGCTGCAAGTGCACAGGTCTTATTTTAAATACACCACAGTCTAAGTAAGGGGTAAGCTGTTGATCAGATTTCTGAACCTCACCTACCCCTACTAAGTGACTTTATCGAAGAAAGGAATCAGGATTCTCTCTTTTGAACAAGCACCTTTGGAAATTCTAATGCAGGTGTTCCTTAGACCATAGTGTAAGAAATACTGCTCTAAGAAATTGCCTGGATTTTAATAAGGTATTAAAAGAGGGGAAAAAATTGAAGAAACGGCTACAGTTAGGAAAGTATGTTTGGCAAATAGAAAGTAGCCCATCTGGCAGGAAATCAGGAATCTGTGTATGATAAAAAGGTTGCAAATATTATTAAAAGGTTCTTTACAATAAGGCCACCTATGGTTTGTACATATATATGCTTAACCAATGAACCAGAGAGGATTAAAAGTAATAAACAGGTTCAAGGCAACTTAACTGAGTAGAAAACAAGACATTTAATTGACCAAGAAAAAAAAATTTAAAGTACACTGTCCTCCGCTACAGAGTAGCTAGTTTTAGAAGGAAAGTACAGAAAAGAACAAAGTAGACCACACTGAGACAAAGAATGAAGAAGCATACCTCTGAAATCTCAGATACACCAATTTTCTGTATAGTTTAGACAGAGTATATTCCTTGATTTAATTTCCCTCTCACTTTCCTCACCTTTCCACAATATTGAATAGGAAGCAGGGTTAAGCTTCTCCACTATTTCTTCTTCCTAACAAACTGCCACTGTCGACATACACAGACTAAAGTAGATTTGAACTGATTCACCTGTTTTTCTGAAATCAGACCAAAATATGACATTACTTAAATGTAATGCTCCTAGGACCAGGGCCTAACAGCTGCTTGGGTCCTTTGCAGTTGGTTTTTAATTCTTCGGTTTGAAGTTTTTAAAAAGGCTGTCCAAAGACTGTACAAAAAACATTTTGGGACTTTGGACAAAGTACACGACATATTTGCTCTTAAGAGCCCTCAACTGAAAAATAAAAATGTTAGACATAAAATTTCTTAAGGCTCCATCTAAGTTTTTACCAATGCTGTAGAAAGATCAGGAAGCACTCTCCTCTGAAAGGAAAATCATTTTCAAGCCATTAGAATGTTTTTATCAGACCCACATTCTCAGACATATGAACTGAAATTCCTTGAGATATCTGATTTTTTTAATTGAATATTAAATATTGTATTAGATTTTACAGAACAAAGTGTAGAAAGTGGCTCACTCAGGAAACAGTCACTGTAAAAGTATCTCTATAACTAAAAATCATCTTTTCAGCACTGAGAAAAAATTTACAAGTATTTATTTTTCAATTGTAGTTTAACTCTGAAATAAGGATTTCTGCCTTAGTATAAAATAATTAAGAAATTCTGAGTTGGCATATAGGGGATGGGATGTACATCAGAATTAAAGATACTTTCACACTGTACATTCCACAAGGACAGAGAAGCCATGTCTGTCTTTGTTCATTGTTAAATTCTTAAGGATACATGGGTCCCCAGCTCTTAGTAATTAGGGTAGCAATAAAGAAATGAAAAACAGTAAACAAAATGTCAAACATATTTTCAACCTACTTGCACCAGGAATGAGCAAGCCAGTTGAGACCTTCTAGCTGATAATCTCGGAGCTCCAGATTTTCCCCTCCTAAATAGGCTGGCTGTTTCTTTAAAGCTACAAATCGTGGTCTTTGCTTCAGGGCCTGAAAAACAAAAATTAACAAGGCCCAGCTCTGAGAAAATTTTCTCCTTGCTCCTAAGTTAAAATGCTAACCACAAATGTATTCTATACCAAAACACAAAAATTCAAATCTCACCTATGAATCACCACTCCTATACTCCACCACCCCTTTCTTGATACTCTATTTCCCAAAATTCATCCTGAAATAAAATATTTCTTAATGAAATTAGCTTCTTTCCTAAAAGGAGTATGTGAACAACATTAAAGAGTTCTTCAATTTGACATCATCTCTATTTTATGGCATTCAGTCTCCTATTTTCCCAGTTATCTTTATGTTATCTTATTCTAAACAGTATACATGTAATCCTGTAATTACCATAATAGGATTTGTAAATTCTGAAATGTAGCCCAACTATGGGAATTTAATTCTCTGAAGGAAAAGTTGCCGATTTCACTACCAAAGATTTGAAGAATAAATAGCATTCTAATAAGGCTAACAAGTCTCTGGTTTGCACAAAATGCAGATTCTGTGACCAAATCAATGTAGAAAACAATGGATCAAAAGTTATACAAATTTCTAGCCAGCTGGTGCATGCCTGTAATCCCAGTGGCTTAGGAGGCTGAGGCAGGAGGACACTACTTTTATTCAAAGCCAGCCTCAGCAACTTAGCAAGGATCTAAGCAACTTGGCAAGACCTTGTCTCTAAATAAAACATAAAAAAGAGCTGGTGATGTAATTCAGTGTTTAAATCCCCCTCGGTTCAATCCCTGGTAACAAAAATAAGTAAATAAATAAGTTATACAAATTTCTTTACTTATTACTTTTCAACATTTAACCATGTGTGCTTTTGGTATGGATTTACAGGAGAAATTTATTCAGAAATGCATCACAAAGTTATTTGGCCACAAAAGTCCTCTTTCTAAGGACATCTGTCTATATGTAAAGCCTATTCTGAGAAACATCAAGTGGTGGTGCACACCTATAATCCTACTCAGAATCTGAGGCAAGAAGATCACAAGGTGAAGACCAGCCTGGGCAACTTATCAAGACCCTGTCTCAAAATAAAAATTAAAAAAAAAAAAGAGCTGGAATGTAGCTTCAGTGGAACAGGACTCCTGGGTTCAATCCCCAATACCAAAATATAGATAGATGATAGAGAGACATAGATAGATAGATAGATAGATAGATAGATAGATAGATAGATAGATAGATATAAAATCCTAACCAATTTTTGATAAGGTATCAATGATTTTGGCTCTCCAAAGGGCAGGTACCTGGCAATGAATGGAATCTGACACCTTACTCTCACCCTCCAAACAACATCCATCCACTCCTGCCAAACTCACTCCATGATCCTCACATCCAATCCTTCATGTCACCACTAGGTCCCTTGCCCTTGTGCCAATTCTTCATTCATGAATTTCTATATCTAACTAGCCGGGTCTTTTGGCTCCAGAATCTCCTATACACTGCCAGTATGTGAACTTTCTAAATAAAATAGTACTTTTATTCTGTTGCTCTCCTTAGCCAGTCACCAATACCAACAGAAAAAAAGTCAAAATTCCTTTTCTTCAAGATAGTTAAGACACACATACTTTAACCTAAATGTACTCAAATTTATCTCCCTTTCCAACACAGGGGTCTGGTAGTTCCCTATCATGGTGCAAATATCTTTCTCTTGGTACCTTTCATGGGAAAGCAATACCCTGGGTCCCAATAATATATCCATCACAAACGAATCTATTCTTCAAGAAAAATAGGCAGTTCAGGCACCATGATTTCCTCTTAAAACTCCTTCAATGAACACTGAAGCTCAGCAAATTCTACCTCTGTATTTCTCTGACCACAGCCTATCTCACACTTACCTGACTTGCAATAACATGCTGACATTCACAGGCAGAAATGTGGTGCTATTTACATGACTCTCAATTTCTCAGAGACAAAGCCCATGTCTGATAACTACATTTATTACTCTAAGAACCCAAGGATATCACTTTTCCAGATGGAATAAATTCCAAAGATGAGAATTTGTACAGTCAATATAGCAAATAAGAAAGGTTATATGTGTTCTAATTTTTTAGTTGTCAATAGGTGTTTATTTTATTTGTTTATTTTTATGTGGTGCTAAGGATCGAACCCAGTGCCTCACACATGCTAGGCAAGCACTCTACCAATGAGCCACAACCCCAGCCCAGAAAGGTTACATATTTAATTTCTAACTTAAAATTCAGAGACACCCCCTTCCTATCCCTTCTAAGTACCTACATCTTCTAAGTATTACTTACTAAAGCAAACACATTAGGCAACTCATCCTCTGCTTTTTCTGTAATTATTTTTTTTATGTCACACCTAAATCCTCTTTCAATTCAAAATGGGAATCATCATTTACTCTTGTGATGCTATTACCTTTTAGTATCTAGTCACTAAGCCATTATATCAGTACATTTTTCCCCTGAAAAAAAAAAAAAAAAACAAAACAATTCCTTACCTTGCATTCTCTTGTTGGGATAGTTTTTGAGTTGTTCCTACTATGGAAGCTGTCGATGCAGCTCTGGAATTTCTTTCCAATCAGGGCCTCATCTTCCCAGCTACACTCTGAATAGGGAAGTCCCATCCATTTGCAGAGATACTCAGGTTCATTCGAAGGTGCTGGCTTCCGAGTATGAGCTATTTTATATGTAAACATTGATAAATCAACAACTGTCAATTAAAGGTGGAGAAAAACATTCCTTTTTATGCATAACAAATGAAACACCATGGGCAAAACTACACTCTGCAAAACATAAAGAGCTTTTAAATACTGAACAATGTTTATAAATAAGATCTCTTGCTCACCTGGAAAATCTGTTTGACCCAATGTAGATTTACTTGTCTTCACAGCTAAAACAAATGCAAAATAAGAAAAGTTATACTCATACCAAAAGAGAGACAGGTTCTAGGAATAAGAATACATATATACTCTACTATCTCACATCTTAAAAAGTCTTGTTCTTATCTCCTTCTCAAGCTATTGCCCCATTTCTCCCTTAAAATAAAACTGCCCAGGAGTTGTCCATAACTTTTTTCCATCTCTCATTCTCTCTTGAACACACCAAAGCAGACATGCATCTCACCATTTCATGGCTCCTTTTCACATGTGCCATACCTATTACTGAATTTAGGATTAAGTCTCAATCCTCACCATCTTTCACCAACAACATTTACTCCACTGAAGCCATATGTAACCTAGCTTCTTATATAGCAATCTCTATCAGCTCTCCTCCTATCACACTGGCTGTCCTTCCTCTCATTTGAATGCTTATTTCAGACTTCTACACAGCAGAATGATCTCAGACTTCCTCCTCTCACCATGTATACTCTATTCCTAATAATCTCATTAAAATCATTTTTAAAATTTAGGCTTTAAAATACTACTTATAGCTGAGCACAGTGGCTCACGCCTATAATCCCAGCAACTTGCGACACAGAAGCAGGAGTTTCACAGGTTCAAACCCAGGCTCAGCAACTTAGCAAGGCCCTAAGCAACTTAGAAAGACCTGGTCTCAAAATAAAAAAAAATAAAAATAGCTGGGAATGTGGCTCAGTGATTAAGTGGCCCTGGGTTCAATCTCTAGTACAAAAAAAAAAAAAAAAAAAAAAAAAAACTACCTATATACCTATATACTAATAAATGCCCAAATTAAAATCTTTGGCCTAAATTAAAAGAGCTACATCCCAGGCTTATACATACTCCTGCCTTCAAAATAATCCTCTTAGATGACTAAAAAGTATATCAAACTTTATATCAAGCTCTTTATTTCTGCTCCAAAAATTAATTCTTCCTTTGAGCTTTACATTCAAGCCAAAGAACTTGACATCTCCTTGATACCCCTTTCACTCCCATACTCAAATCTATGAGCAAATTTTATTAGCTTTTCCTTCAAGATAACCCTAAGTATGTGTCTACTCTCAAGAAGTAAAACTAGAGAATGCAATTTTTAATGTACATTATGCTAAAAGCAAAAGCCATTATTCTTTGAGTTCAAACTCAGCTAAAGTAAGTTTCTATGTATTTACCTATTACTCTTTCTACTATCTGATATTGTTTATTCAACTCTGAAGCCAGTTCCTGTTGGCAATTGAAATATTCCACATCTTCAGGAGAAACTTTTCCTAACCTGGACAGAAGACAGAAATAGCACATACCAATTAGACTTAGGGGATCTATGGACATGTATCACACCAAAAATCCAGATTAGAAAAGCTAACAAGTTACATCTATCTGTCCCTTTAGTAATCTTTACTAGTAATTAGGCATAAGATTTTTTTTTTAAAACACCTTCACATCATTTCTGAAAATTATGTAAAACTACTATTAGTTTTAAGTGTTTCATAACCCAGAGAGTTCTAGAATATTAGACATGATGTCTAAGCCACTACAGTCTAACCACAGTCAGCTAAGTGTTGTAAAGAATAGGCTCTGGACTCAGGTGCCAAAATTCAAGTACTGGGTCCACTTGTGGAGTTGCTTTGTACCTCATCCTTCCTGTCTAGAATGCAGGGGTTACTTTATAAATCTCATACCTTTCTTGTGAAGATGAAAGACATAATGTATGAACAATGCTTAATGTGCTGCTATCACTAACATTAAAGACTGAGTAGCCACATGCAAAAATATATAGTATTTTTGGGTCACAATTTTACAAAACAGAACTACAGTTAGCTCTGTATTCACATGATGAAGGCAAGAGTGAGATCCTAAATAGCTGTGTTCTCAGTACATTATTTAAAAATCTTCCTTTCTCTCAGGCTGCAAATATCTATGGTAAGAAACATACCATTGTTTGATTTCATCTTCTTTCTTCTTGAAATTCTCTAATTTTTTTAGGCCTTTCACTTTCTGTTGCTGTAAAGATTCTTCACTCTCCCATGTACTGTGGATATAAGACCAACCCTTCCATTTGATGAGGTACTGAATTTCACCTTCATCCTTTTCAGTGTCAAAGTCACCACTAGGATCTCCATTAGCTTCAATAGCATATACAGTAGTAGAAGCTCCAGTGGCTGCAAAAGGATTCAGTTAAATTTTAAAAAGTATAGCTCAGTGGTAGCATGTGCAAGGCCCTGGGTCTGATTCCCAGCACCTCAGAAAGAAAAAGAGAGCATAAAACCAAACACTAAAAAGCTTCCTAAGTTAGCAACTGTCTAATCTCTTAAAAGGAACCACCAAAATACTTGGACTTCAAATAAGCATAACTTACAACACAGGGTGGAACTGACCAATAATTTCAAATATTTTCAAAATGCTAACCCAGGGCTGCTGATGTAGCTCAGTGGCAGAGTGCTTCCTAGCATCCACCAAACCCTGGGTTTAAGTTCTAGTACCGCAAAAACAAAATCAAAACAAAAAGAGCTAACCTGACTTTTGTGCATTAAAACATATTCTAGTCAGGTAAGAGAACACACACCTGTAATTAATTCCAGCTACTTGGGGACTGAAAAGGGAAGATGACAAGTTTAAGCTTAAGTCTATGCAACTTAACCAGAATCTGTCTCAAAATACAATTTTTAAAAAGGACTACAGGTATAGCTCAGTGGCAGACTGTTTACCTGGCATGCACAAAATCCTGGGTTCAATCCCCAGAGTAAAAAAAAAAAAAAAAGGTATTCCAAAGTTTGCCAGTGAAATAAATCAAACGTCCAAATGTAATAAAAAGTTTTTTTTTGTTTTTTTTGGAGGGGGGAGTCCAATAATTCAAACTAAACAAAAAATACCTATTGCCAGGAATAAGAACAGAAAATCAAAATCCTCTCCTGCTTTCCCACCCTCCCAAATCTTTCCATTAATTCTCCTATTTCTCTATTTCAAGTACAGCCAGAATAAGGGACCAAAAACAAAAAGATTAAAAAGTTATGAGATATCTCAAATAGATATTGTTAAAACATTTTTGCTATTATTCAAATATATATTTGATTAGTTTGATATTTTTTTCAGATTCAAGAACAATTAACTAAATAGATTTGCTGAAGGTTAATAGGCGATATCTAAAAAAAAAAAAGCAATATCTCTACTATATCACTGCTTCAAAGAGAATTAACTTATCTTTACTAGCTTAATTTAAAATATCAAAGACATATAGGATGCATTACTTTGTCCTCAGCTTGAAAAATTATTAGTTCAACAGACTTCCACATCTCACAACAATTGCCTGAAATTCATCACATCCAGGTTAAAATATATAAAATCTGGGCCTTACTAAGCAGATTTCAAAATACTTTGCTTTCCAAAGATACATACCTCCTTTCTTTCCCAATCTTGAATCTAAGACCTTTTCAATAGTTTCACTATTATCTTGCTGTTCATCAACTCCTTCCCCAGTCATTTCAATGAGATCATCTGAATCAGTCTCAAAGTCATCATCTTCTTTATAACTGCATGAAAAATAATACTGAATAATTGAGAAAATTATAGTTTAAGGATTAAACACCTCCATATACAATATCACCAGAAAAAGGAACCATATTCCTTTGATTCCAACATACTATTTTACAGATTAGCCATTCATTGGACTGAATGCAAGTATCAATTCATGATCACTGATTAACTGCAAGAAGGCTAACCCACGTTTCAAATGAAGACAGTGTACCTATACTAATTTATGTAACAAAATTACAATAATACAAAACTACAAGGACATGCCTTTTTTCATTTTTTAATGAGATTATTATCACATAAATGAAGAAGCTATCGCAAAGAAAATGCATAATGAAAGAAAAAAACTGTTATTAAATCATTGGATAAAAGGGACAGGGGATATAGTTCATTTGGTACAGTGCTTGCCTTGCCTGCACAAGGTCCTGTGTTCAAGCCCCAGCACCACAAAAAAAAAAAAAAAAAAAAGGAAGTAACATTTAAATTTAAATGCTTTAACCAGAAAAACTGCTAAGCTATACACAGGCATATGCAAAGCTGAGTCCTAGTTTATAATTATTAATTGGATATACTGGACAAATAATTAGTATCTTCAGATCTCTAGGCAGACTATAAAAAAAATCTGCATATGTTCTAAAAATTAAATGCCTTTCAAACTATACAAATTAAAATATTAATGTTTGAATCTATTTCACTTTCTATGACTAAGTTGGATTAAAATTATAACTATCAATATATAAACCAAACCTCAGAATAATTTGCATCATTCAAAAGAGTAATAAAAGGAATGGGGATACAGCTCAGTGATAGAGTGCTTGCCTAGCATGAATGAAGCCCTGGGTTCAATCCCTAGAACTGCCACACACACACACACCCCCCCCCCGCCACCGGAAAAAAAAAGATAATGTTATAAAATGCTGACAATGCCACTAAGGACATGAACTTGAAGCAGTTTAAAATGATCTACTGTTGTTCTTTCTCATTCCTCTTGGTTTAATTATCACCATTCCTTTTCCAAGAAAATGAAACGGATTTCTAAAAACAACATGATATATCCTAAAGTTGCTTTTATCTATCAAATGCAAAATCTTAGACTACAAAAACCAAGATCTAGCCAATTACACCAATGGAGCACAATTTACCTAACATTCTTAGCAGCTCTTCTACGAGTCTGCCTTTTGGGAGCTTCATCATCTTCGTCATCATCATCGGAAGAATCTTGCTTTTTTTTCTTTCCACGCTGAGCCTTAGGTTGCTTTTTAACCCGAGGTTTGGGAACTGTCCTAAAATGAGAAGGAAAAACAATGGCAAAGCTTTTATTCTAACATGTGAAATCTACTTCAAATCTATATAATGATATTTCCTAGAACAATGGTACATATATAAGCCACTTGGCAAATGTTAAAAATATATTCCTGGGCTGGGGCATAGCTCAATGGTAGAGTGCTCATCTAGCACATATGCACGAAGCCCTGGGTACGATCCCCAGTGTGACCAAAAAAAAGCATATTCTTGAATCCCAACCCCTGAGATTCTAATTTACATGAAAGTGATTCTAATGCTGATAATTCTAAATCATTTATGGGAGAGATAATGGTTCTCAACTGTTCATCAGTATCACCTAACATAAAAATATATATGTAGTATGTTGCTTATGGTATCTTTGGGGTAGGCAATCTGGAAATATCCATCAAATTTTAAAATGCAACAATTTTACTTATAACAATATATTTCACAGATGTATACTTGGGAAGACATAGACATTCACAGTAGCATCACTTGCAAATTACAAAGTATTAGAAAAATTCTAATAAATGTTCATCATCTGGTAACTGAGTACTATGCAATCACAAAAAAAGAAAAAGGCAGTTTCCTGGGTACTAATATGAAAAGATATCCAAGAAACATGCATAACAAGATGCATAGAACACTCCTGGTCTATGTAAAAGTGAGTAAAGGACAAGAAAAAACTACACATGATTTTAAATCTTTTTGTTTGTTTTACTTTTTTTAATTTATATATGTGGTGCTGAAGATTGAAACCGGTGCCTAACAGGTGCTGGGCAAGCGCTCTACCCCTGAGCTTCAACCCCCACATAATCTCTTCATGTGCACAGACTATAAAATGATTGTACCCTGCCATAGTTCTAGTACAACAGAGCAAGCCCCCCTCTCCTGAGTCCCATGTACAGCCAGGACTGAATGTCACAGTCTAAGATCATGAAAGGAAAAGTAAAAGAAGAAGAAAAGAGGAGAAGTAAACTCACAATAACAATTATCTGTTCTTACACTAGCCCTAAAAACCTAAAAACCTAGAAGACAGACTCAGGAGGCTGAGGCAGGAGTTCAAAGCCAGCCTAAGCATCTAAGCAAGACCATAAGCAACTTAGTGAGACCCTGTCTCAAAATAAAATGAATAAAAGATCTAGGGATGTGACTTAGTGGTTGGATTCAGTACCTAGTACCAAAAAACAACCGGAGAAGACAGAATTAAGAGTTAACAGTCCTGTGAGCTTCAATTAAGGTGAAAAAACAATATTCTTATGAATTTTCCTCAGAGTATTGAAATACAAGTTATGTCCTAGGCCAAGGGTGGGCAAACTTTATCCGTACATAGACAAAGAGTAAATATTATAGGCTTTGTCAGCCAAAGGGCAAAACTGAGATCATTATATTGATACTTACATAAAGAAAAAAATTTAAAATTTTCACAAGCTTTTTATTGACAAAATTCAAAATAAACTTAACCATTGAGTATACTATTTGTGATTATCTGTCTTCTAAAGAAAAGACTGGTACTCCTTTTGAGAGGACAACATTTCATTTAACCGATTATGCCCCATCTTTCCATTTAAGGTAACACCTAAAAAAGTTAAAACTGAACACCAAATATACCACTTATTCAAACATTTGAAATATATTTTTAGAGTCCTATTATTTTTAAATATTTTTTAGTTGTTGATGGCCCTTTATTTTATTTATGTGTATGTGGTGCTGAGAATCGAACCCTCAGAGCCTCGTGAGGCCACTGAGCCACAACTCCGGCCCTAGAGTTCTATTCTTTTGAGAAAACAGGTGTATGAGCAGTGATAACAGTCATTGATATTATATGTTATAATAAACTCTAGATTATGATTTCCAACATTTAAATGCACCTGTGTCAAAATCTTGAAATATTCCCAGAATTGAAAATATAAAACTTAATGGGTTAATTGGGATTCAAACCTAAAAATAATAAATATTCATCTACAAAAGAAGTATTATCCTTCAGGCCATAAAAAATAGGTGGTAGGTGGGATTTGGTCTAAAGACCACAGTTTGCTGACTCCATCCCTTAGCAATACAGCAAAAACGTAAATTTTCCTGGGACTATCTACCTCCTGCCTTCCTTTTCCTATCAACATTACCTGAAATTGCCACCATCTTTCTGACAAAATGTTACTAAAATTTACTGCCATCTCAGGCTATCATCATCTTCAAAAAATTAGATTTTCTGCTTAGTATCATATACAAATTATATGAACAGTACATTAACAATCAAGTATGTTGTAAGTCAGCCAAACAGTATTTCAAACTTAAGAGTTAATTGTCCCACAAAGAACTTGTACCTTGGCCAGACAAGCAGGAAATTTTTTTGTAAGTGGAAGATACCCTCATAAGCAGGCTATCATGGAGAAACAATAAAATCCACTGTTGGAACTATAAACCACAAAAACGCCCACAATTAATATAAGTAACCCAGTCATTTAAGCACTTGCTGAGGATACAAGCTAGCACAAAGTGAACAACAGATATTCAGAATTCAGAACTGCAACTTGTCCTATCTGCTTAAGGCTTTCATTCCTGCAAGACATCATCCTTCCCGATGTATTGCAAACTGAGCTCGTCCAGAAGCAGAGGTCTAAAACCAACAGTATACCTTCTGGGGACAGGTCTTCTGGCTTTCACTTTTTTTTGTTCTTGTTCACTCTCTGCACTGGTGCCTTGATCCTGTTCATCTTCTGAGGGTTCCCGTTTCCATTTGTCTCTGCAATAAAAGCAAAACAAAATAATTTTTTTCTAAAATAATTATTCAACAATCTGACAAAACAAATTCAATACAATTATCTAAAAGGCAGAACATGCATATTTGAGATATCATGCTAAAAGAGATTTATTTTAGCTCTATTTAAATTTTGGTTGTGATCCTTCCTAGCTACATATCTATTCCTATTTCATCTCAAATAAACAAACAATGGAAACTATGAGTGTATTTTTCAATTTGTTTTGGGAGAAAATGTTAAATTTCTCATTTTTTTATTTACTACTATATTATGACAAGAATTAAAACATAATACATACTAGAACAATGGTTCCCAAATTTTAGCATGCATCAGGAACACCTAAAAGGTTTGTTAAAAAAGATTTCTGGGCCCTGGAAAGTTTCTTATTCAGGAGATCTCAAGTAAGGCCTAAAATTTTGAATTTTAACAAATTCACATATAATGCTAATACTGGGTATAAATTTGAGAACCTTTATATTAAATATTTAAGGAAGGTCCCTGAAATTATTTTCCAATGATAAACCTACTTAACTAATCTGTCAGCTCAAGATATAGTTTTTAATTATTATTAGGTAAGGTAAATATTCTTTTGCCCCTTTAGAACTTAGAAGGCTTGAGAGCCATAACCTATTGGTATCCTTGGACCCAAAACAGTTTTAGTTTACTTAAGGACCAAACTAGATACTACAAAGACCTTGCTCATTTTCTCACCTGTAAGGAGTAAAGAACACGTCTGGGTGTTAAATAACCTAGAAAAAAAAAAACTTAAAGGCAACGCTTCTCTATAAACAAAACAATTACCACTGTTCCTCTGGGTCCCTTTATAGATAGTGTGGTCACACTAAAATTATCTGTTACAAAATTGAAAAGTCGGGGGATAGGATTCTGGCTCAGAGGGAGAGTGCTCACCTTGCATGCATGAGGCACTGGGTTCGATCCTCAGCACCACATAAAGATAAAATAAAGATTTTGTGTCTACCTATAACTAAAAAAATAAATATTAAAAAAAAAAAACCTGAAAAGTCAAACCAATATTCTTCACAGGAGAATAGGTCAAAGTAATAGTGAAAGCTTGTTCCAAGGGGGTTAATCTGCAGATTCCTGAGACCCTTTCTAAAAGCTGCACAAGTTAACTTATACATGAATCAGGTGAAGACTAAGGGGCAAGGGGAATTCAAGCCTTCCATGAAAAGGCAATGGAGCTCTTTTATGTATATTATTCAAATTCTACTAGCACTGTGTGCTTTCATATCTATTTCCCTAGAGTTGTTGACTCCTTGTACAGCACATATTTTTGTCCACCTTTGTACCAGAGCTTAGTACAAAGCCTGGCAAATGGAAGATGTTCTTCTGTGAAGTAAAAAAATTGATTAATGAATGAGCCATATCAATCTATCATTCATACAGGTAGGGTACTTTTGGGAACAGGCTGATAAGACAGTAAGGTTTTTAGTTATTGGCTAATACTCAATATCTAAATATCATATATCTAAAACGAAGACTTCCTTCTATCTAACCACACTCAGATTACCTGTCTTATCCTGCTACCCTAGAGCCAAGTACAATAAATATCTGCATAAGAATCCAAGGATAGAAAGTGATTGCCAGAAAGAAAGGAAGGAAGATGTACCCTACAACTGGGAGAATAGCACGTGGGTGCCTAGTTTCCTTTGAATCAGTTTACCTCTCAGAATCTCACACAAAGTGAAAAGGAGTGGTTTCACAGGAACATATTTGAAAAGACATGAACAATTACAACCTAAGATGAGAAAAATCCAAAGTTGTTGTGGTTTGGATGTGAAGTATATCCCAAAAGCTCATGTGTAAGACAATAAAAGAAGGTTTAGAGGAAAAATGATTGGGTTTATGAGAATCTTAATCCAATCAATGAGTTAATCCCACAACGGGATTAACTGGATGGAAACTGAAGACAGGAAGGGTGTGGCTGGAGGAGGTGAATGGGGCATGCCTTTGGGGTGTATATTTCATATCTGGTGAGTGGAGTCTCTCTGCTTTCTGATCATCATGTGGGCGGCATCCCTCTGCCACACTAGTCCACCATGATAATTCTGCCTCACCTCAAGCCCCAAGGAATGAAGCCTACTGTCGTCTATGGACTGCAAATTCTAAAACCATGAGTGCTTAAATAAACTTTTCCTCCTATATAATTGTTCTGGTTGGGTCTTTTAGTCAAAACTGAAAAAAAGCTGACAAAAAAAAACTGACTGAAAAAAAACAAAAAGTCTAGTATTATTTTGAATTTACATGTCTCCTCCAGGAATTGGCAACCTAAACCATGGCCATCAGTGAAGTCCACTTCTATAAGTACAGGAAACTAAAATGGCAGCAAGCCCTGAGCAAATATATGCTGAAGCTAGAGTTTTCCAGTTAATTATAAATTTATTAATAACCAAGAGAATTTGGAAGTTTTTAATAAGAAAATTTTAAAAAAAGAAAAAAAATTTAGTAAATCAACTATTCTAAAGCCTTCCTCCCAGAGAAGGAAACTGAAGCCCAGAGAAAACAAATTGCTTGGCCACAAAGCAAACCCCTAGCTCCACTACTCTCAATCATAACCCAGAAAAGACCAAAAAATAAGGAAAAATTAAAGTCAGTCTTACACATTTCAAGAGGATCTGGACCACTGGAGGTTTAAAAGGCCTGAATGAATGTGTACGTATATTTGAAACTGGATGAATTATCTCAAGTTTTAATATTCAAGAACAAGAAAGAAAGTATCAGCAACATCACATCACTCTGTAGAAGAAGTGAGGTGAAAAAGAGTGATTATCATTTATTGAAAGATTACTCTATAACCTACAGTCTATAGGGCTCTCCAGCACATGAACTGCTGTCCACTTACCTACACTGTTGGCTTCCTATAAAATGCAAATTTTATAAAGAAATCCCACTAAGCCATATGCTGTAAGTCCACCTATAGTAAAGAGAAATCTAAGATATAATCTCATGAGTGCAAAATGTTTAATATATCAAAAGAAACTAGAATTATCATATCCAGTTTAAGAGGGAATCAGTGCAATTTTTCCCAAAATCTTAGGAATTGATGAGGAAAAACACAAAGATTTAGCCAAATGAGACCCTCAAGATAATAAAAACAAATAAGAAGTCTAAATGTAGGTTAATGAGTAAAGTTAACTCTCCTTTTCTGGGAAAAAGTGTTTAGGAGGGCACAATCCTGAGACAGGCGAATCAAATCTAAGCAACTGTGAAATAAGTAATGAGCAAAAGCCACTTTCAATAGTATGGGCCCGAACTGCAGACAAGAGTTACAAAAGCCCACCCCATTAAACATTTGTAAGAGCCTAGAGAAGAGAATTCCCTTCTCTACTTTATGAGGCAGATCTGAAAAGAAAGTAAATGATTTAACTTATTTAATTTTTAGTAATTTCCCCAAGAAAGAATACCTTTCATAAACAATTCCAATCTGGAGTTAACAAGAATTCTCTTCCATTGTGTCACAGGTTTGTGACAGATGCCCAATTCAACACACTGGAAAGGAATACAAAACTATGATCCCATGAGAAAAACTTTTCATAGTTATGACTAAAATTTTCACATTCTACTTGGGTTTTGGAACCACTGCAGAATATCATTAAACACTATTAGACCATAATGTCAGCAGAAATGGTATACAATACTGCTCAAATGTTGACAATATTTACAGGTATTGCATTAAAAAAAGAATTCAAAGATTTAAATTAGCATGAGTGGGTTAAATAAAATCCAAAGTTTAGTTTATGTGTATGACTCTAAGTCAGCAGTTAAATACCTTACTGGAACCAGGTAAGGACTGAAAGAAGGGTAAAGTAGAGAACTCATGGCCACTCACTAATATATGCATCAGCTTTGAAAGATATTTCTCAAAAGAAGCCAAAAATACATATTCCTATTCACAGTACCCCCAATAGTCAACATTGCTGATCAAAAAATGTTTTTTAAATATTGTGCAGGCCCATAGTGCTAAGTAAACTCAAGTAAGATTAAAAATTGCTTATACATTATAACTATGGGAGTTAGTCTCTTCTTAGTTCCCAAGAGAACATATACTCGTTTAAGACTGCATTCTTCAAAAATATCAATGCCATAAAAGCAGAGAGAGGCTATAAAATGCTCCAGATAAAAGAAACCTGACATCTAAATATATAGCATCTGATGCTAGATGAATCATGTAGTGGTGGTAGAAAAATGGATTGACTGACAAAACTGGAAAATAAATTAGACAAAAGTATTTCAATAATGTTTAAATCTATTTAAGTTGAAACTATTTTTTCCTGAAGAAATACTTAGGGGTGGGGGCTGAGGATTTAGCTCAGTTTGTAGAGTGCGTGCTTGCCTCACATGCACAGGCCCTGGTTCAATCCCAGTATCACCAAAAAAATAAAAAGAAAGAAAAGAAATACTTAGGGGTAAAAGGCCATGAAGTATTAAGACTTTAGTCTCAAATGGTTCAGAAAAAAAACTATGTGTATGTCCACATAAATACATATAAAAAGAACACCTACAACAAAAAAGCAAATGAGTAGATGATCACTTGCTTAGATCATCAGAGGGTGCCTGCTAATAGAAGTTGCATACCTTCCCCACAATTTGGTCAAAGTGCACATTTCAGGTAAAAAAAAAAAAAAAAAAATCACCAAAAAACCATATATCAGTCAACAGAAAACATAATCTCCCAAGTAGATTGTAGGACAGAGGTAGGAAAAAAGCCTTCTAAATAAAATGTCAAAAACTCTTAAGTCTGCTTACAATTGCTATTTCTCCAACTTAAGTAGATGCTTAAAACAAAAATGGATATTGGATGTACTCTAGCAGGACAATATTAAACACTTGACTTTTCTGCAAAGTACTATAATAATCTATACTAAATGTCACAAAATCTTAGCACAGTTTCCAATAACTCTTGTGTAGGCCAAATTAGTATAACTCTATTTTAGAAGGACATAAGGAAATAGTTTTAAAATACTCAAATTATTTGCCTTATACAACTTTTTTAATTAATATTAATCTTTACTAATAATACATTTTAAAGTAATTAAAAATTACTAATACTTTAGAATCAGTATGTAACTGGAACTCCTATAAGAAGCCATAGATAATTAACACAAGAATTCCGAAACTGGGAGCTGGGGTTTCGGCTCAGGGGTAGAGCACTCACCTAGCACATGCAAGGCGCTGGGCTCAATCCCCAGCACCACATAAAAATAAATAAATAAAGTAAAGGTATTGTGTGCAACTACAATCCCAAAACTGGTCTACAAAGTTTTGAATATCTAGATCTTTCTGAGTTGATATACAGAATTCATGTAATTGAAGGAACTGTACCTTCTCCAAAAAAACGATTTTAAAAATTATTTCTCAAAAATCAAATAATTTTCAACATGTAAGCAGAGAACTCTTTTAAATTAAAAAATAATGAGTCACGCACGGTGGCACATGCCTGTAATCACAGTGGATCAAGAGACTGAGGCAGAAGTATCACAAGTTCAAAGCCAGCCTCAGAAAAAGCGAGGCACTAAGCAACTGAGTGAGACCCTGTCTGTAAATAAAATACAAAATAGAGCTGGGATGTGCCTCAGTGGTTGAGTGCTCCTGAGTTCAATCCCCAGTACTCAGAAAAAAAAAAAGTAGTAGTAGTAGTAGTAGTAATAATAATAATAATAAACACATAACCTATGTTACAAAGTAATTTTCATGGAGCCTAAGAATTAAAATTTTCTGGTCTATAAACTACAATGTTAAAAATTATATGGGGCTGGGGTTGTGGCTCAGTGGTAGAGTGGTTGCCTCACATGAGTGAAAGACTGGGTTCAATTCTCAGCACCACATATAAATAAATAAAATAAAGATCCATCAACACTAAAAAATATTTTTAAAAAAATGATATGAGAACAATAGTATATAATTTCATACCAAAATGAGTGCCCAACCAATATAATTCTGCCATGCCAACACAAAGGACAAATGATAAAAGAAAAAAAAAATGGCAAATTTAGATTTGTTCCTTGTTTAATTAACTATAATGTACATTTTTTTAAAAATTTAAGTTGAGCTACACCAGAGGGAAGAAGTTGGAATTTGCCCCCAAGAAACAGCCCAAGCACATGTGGAACCCTTCCATGTGTTAAACTAAGAAGTCCTAGCTTCAAATGCTTCTACTGCTGCAAAAAAGCAGGATAATAGTAACCCAAGCTCATAAGAGAAACAAAGGAAGATTCAGACCTGGGACAGACGGAAGACACAATGAATGCTTCCTAGAAATGCTGACATGTTTATAACTACCAGATTTAGTAATTTCCCCCATGAAAGACTTACTGTTTTTTCAGCTGCCTCTGGCCTCTTCTTTTTGGGCTCCCACTCTCAGACCCGCTACTTGCCTTCAGTGTGTGAGGGGGGAAAAACGATTACAGACTTTAATGCACAATTCGTTGGGATAACGCTACCTCCTGGTTCTACAATCTATTCAATATAGCATTATTAAATATGAGATTTTTTTTTTAAAGAGAGAGAATTTCTTAATATTTATTTCTTAGTTTTTTTTTGTTTTTTTTTTTGGCGGACACAACATCTTTGTTTGTATGTGGTGCTGAGGATCGAACTCGGGCCGCACGCATGCCAGGAGAGCGCGCTTACCGCTGGAGCCACATCCCCAGCCCATAAATATGAGATTTTAGACAGAAGGAAATCCATGCACTTGTTTGATGGATCTCCCTCTTCTTTTGCTTTGAAAATTAATGTCTCTCTGTTAATTACTGAGTTATGTCTAAAGCCAAAAAGTATTTCTCAGCTTGACTTCCAGAATAACAATATCTAATAAAATTTTCCACAGTGCAATGATGTAAATGTTCTATATCTGTAATGTCAAATGGTAGTCAACCACATGTAACTACTGGGCACTTGAAATGAGGCTAGTGTAACTAAAGAAAAAAAATTTAAATTTATTTATTTATAATTACTATAAGATTTAAAAACCCCATGTGGCAACCCTATTGGATACGGCAGATCCGAAATATCAATGAAAATACCACATTTAGTCAGTGTGCCTTAAAGCCTCTGACTGCTTATCTATTCATTTTTGACTTATTATAAAAGCAAGTTACATCATGAGCCAAAAGTGCTTTGCTAATAGGCCAAGACAAGTTTATAGTCACAGACATTTGAACAGCTTTTTTCCCCAAACATTAAGCAAAATGGCTAAGTATTCCTGTTAATCTTATGTCCTACTGAGATGAAGAAAAAGATTTACCAAACTATGTGATTGGTTTAAGTGTGGCTCAGTAACCTTAGTGATAGACACTACGAAAAAGGAAAGCAAAAGCAAACCAGTTCAGAGGTCACTCAAAATCAAACATCACAAATATAATGTAGATACGTTAGGGTGAATTATATTTTTAAAGTACATTTGCAAAAAAACCCACACTCAACTCACTAACCTTTGACTATCAATATTATAACTTTCAGAAGAATGTTAAATAGCTAAGAATATCAAAGTCCTCCTAAGAAGGCAGAAAGGGGACATTTTATTGAGACAAGAGTATCTCTTCAGAATCTAGTCTATCAATCTAACATAAAGATAAGAATCCACAAAAATATCACACAATCTGAGAATGGTAAAAGAAGTCTGATTCTATACACAAACAACTCCAGTACATAATACCAGTTTCAAAAAGCACCAATCTATTCAATCTCTCATAATTAGATCAGAGAGTGAATATATTGGAAACTAGTTTTATCTCACACTAAAAACGATCAAGAAAACTAAATTTACAGAAATTAGATAAAATACATTACTTAAGAACTCTCTCCTTTCCTTTCTCAGCAATAAGTCCCAAACTCTTTCCATTGTTCTTTGTTCATCAGTTCAACCAAATCTACATCTAGAAGCAAGAGGTTTAAAAAAAAAAAAAAAAAAATCTTGCTACAATCAATTTCACTATGAGAAAATTAACTTAAAAAAATCTGAGGTCTGTTTTGTGTAACACTCTAATATTCTACTGAAACATTAACTATTATATTTTTGGTAAGTTTCTTGTATTTAACTTCTTGCCTTATTATTTCTGTCACAGAAACCTCACATTAAAGTCAATTAACTCCCATGCCTGAAGTTCAGTCTTATTAATGGTAACACATTCCACAGTCACAAAGGATAAAATAAGAAATTTAAATGTATGTATCCCCTTAAAACAATTTTTGTTCTTACCTCTTCCTTAATATTAAATCGTGATGGTTCTTGTCTGCTTCGGTTTGATCGCCTAACCCCATAAACATCAGGATATTCTTCCCACATCTGTAAAATTAATAGGCCATGGATGAATTTTTTTTCTTGATTTCCATTTAGTATTTAAATCACAGGAACATTTATTTAAATTCAAAAGAATTCACATAATTAAATACCAAAAGAGTTGTGTGGCTAATTTTGTTTATGATACAACAAAGTTCCATCTTTAAAAAAGAAGAGACATAATAATGCTAGGACACAAAGTTTAATAATTCTCTTCATTACTTAATAATGGCTAGTAAGTTATAGGACACACTGTTTACTCACTGTTAAAATACAAACTTAAAAAAAAGAGTTAAATAATATGGTTAGGCAAAATAGCAATTTCACTAAAGACAAAGTATGTACTGATTAATTTTAAATTCCCCAATTCTTTTTTTTTTTTTTGGTACTGGGATTAAACCCAGGGGCATTTAACCATTAGGCCACATCCCCAGCCCTTTTTTGTGTTTTATCTTGAGACAGGGCCTCATTAAGTTGCTAAGGGTCTCATTAAGTTGCCAAGGCTAGTTTTTAACTTTCAATACTCCTTGCCTCAGCCTCCTGAGCCACTTAAGATATTACAGGCATGTGACACCAAGTCCAACTTAATTCCCTAATTCCTGAGATTCAACTTTTACTACAAAACTACAACTCAGAAATTCAAGTCTAATTAAGTAAGAATCAGGGTATCTGCATATTTTTTAAGTTCCTCAGGTTGTGTATTTCCCAGATACATGTTAGAAATTCTAAGGACACTGTTATCCTTTTATTCTAGGAACACCTATTTTTATTCTCAAACCATAATTAGCCCTTTGCTTTTATGACTTGAACTTTTAATAAAATCCTCACCAGTGCTTTCAAAAACTTAAGGAACTAATAATTAGGAGCTGGAATTGTGGCTCAGTGGTAGAGCCTAGCATGTGTGAGGCACTGGGTTCAATTCTCAGCACCACATATAAATAAATAAAATAAAGGTCCATTGACAACTAAAAGATATTTTTTTTAAAAAAAAATTAAGGGACTAATTAAAGAGATACTAAAATTTTACTCTCCGTCCCCAGAGATAACTAATATATTCTGTTATTTTAAAACAAAATCTCATAAGCAAAAGGGATTCCCATGGACTGTGGAATGCTGACACACACAAAAAAAGTCTAATAGTAGCTAAACATGTAAAAAAATGCTTAAAAGCAAAAATTAGAAATGTTGGTTTGTTATCAAAACACAAATGACAGGCAATGTCACGAAAACATTTGGAAATGAGAGCCACTGTCTTGAGACTGGTAAAATATTTTCACTTGAAAGCATGGAAACTGGATCCTAAAACAGAAAACTGATGAAAGATGATCTAAAAAAATACAATATTACCATGCCAAAGAAAGACATTATTAACAATGACTTAAAAAAAATAGGAAAATAAAGAAAACAAAGCCTAAAAAAAATTAATTAATTTTAAAAAATAAGGCCAAAATAGGCATCTTACAACTATAATCTAACATAATCATGCAGTTTAGTATTCTTAGATTCTCTAATTATCTTAGAATAACCATCTTGGAGTTAAAAGACAAAAAGCCCAACCAGAATGAATTAGGAATAATCAAGTGGTTGGAAAAACAGGTGCAAGAGGCAAGTAAACGCAAAACAAGCCAGACAAATATGACAGAGAAAGGAAAAAAGAAAGTGCTTCACTGTAGTGTCTGCAACCCCAACTCCTTTTGGGACCTCTACTAGAACTTTGAAATTATTTACATGAATCAACACAAATTTTTATGGAACTTTTATTAACGAGGATGGCTAAATCATATTTAAATTTAGCTACATCAATCCGTTTTATTACTTTAGTAAATTAGCCATGTATTCTGTTCAACTATTGCAACTTTCACGGAATATACCATAATGCTTATATCCTAAAATCATCTTGTGATCATATTTGTCCTTTTGAGGACCAATGATATCTAATTCAACTCTTCCACGAAAAAGCTACCCTCGGAGTTATCACTACTGAATAATCCTACATAAATAACAGAACTTTTTTCCTGTTGGGAGAAGGTGAAGGATGTCACCTTATGAAAAGGATGTACACAAAAAGCAAGCCTTCTATTAAGTTCTCATTTTAGAGTTACCATTATTAAAGGCACAATACAGTCATTCTGACTGCTACTAGGTCCACTTACAACCACTACCACCACCCACCACTGTGCTCGGGATTGAACCCAGGGCCTTGCACATGCTAAGTATATGAATTCAATCTTGGCAATGCCTTCTCTCATTTCTTAGTTATTAAAGAAAGTAAATAAGATCTTAGAAATAGCAGTTGTGAATCCCAAAGAGTCAACCAAGATTTCAGTAAAACTTTAAACTTACAAGTCATGATTTCTACAGTTTCCTTTTACTTCTACATGTAAAGAGCTCCTACTATAGGAAAGATAATTATACCTAGACTTCTGTGTTCATATTTCATTCAACAATGTATTGGAACAAATACATAATAACAAATCCCATCAATATTACAACTGTAAAGCACCAATAAAAAAATGTGGGAAAAAAAAAATCATTGGAGTTTTCTGAAAAGAACACCTGGTGTAGATGTACAGGGTGAACCAGGCTCAGAAATTAGGCTCTAAGCATCACTGAGCAAGACCTTCTGACACATGCCGGATGGCAAATTTCTGATGATACTCAGTAAAAAATTTCTAAGTAACACTTCTATGTGACCTTTTTGAAAAAAAAAAAAAAAAAGGGCCACTTAAACTGTATTTTTAAAAAGTATACCACACAAGGAGCAAGCAACACTTGAGTGTCGTAAGGACGTCTTTCATTTTCCTATTAGACTGCCATCAGGATTCTCCAACCTAACAAGCTCCTAAAGGTCGCATACCATTAAGCAACAATTATGCTGGGAAGAGAAAATCTGAAATAAGCCAGATTTAGAATCAACTGTGTTAAGAGTTAAAAGTGGTTTTGTTTTTTAAGTTGTTTGTTGAACTTGCAGGTAATATAAACCTACTTGTAATATTATGAAAATCTGAGTGTGCAAAACATAGATTTATTTATATCTTCAAGTATAGCTTAAATAAAAAACGATTTGGCATAAAACCTCTGACTTCATTAAGGTTCTTTTTCTCCCATTACTGAGAATTGAACCCGAGGCCTTGCACATGCTATGTTTCTAAATTTTTAAAAGCAATAGTCTGGAAGAGAGTAAGGAAAGGTACAAGGAAATGAGATTAATCAAATTATATATGAACATGACATAATGAATCCCACTACTATGGATAATTGTAATGTGAAAAAATTTAAAAAGGCAATAGTCTTTGGGAGCTGGCAGTGTTGAATTAAACTGGTGGATTGCTTGCCTAGCACGTGTAAGGCCCTGGGTTCAATCCCCAATACCATGGGTGGAGTAGGAGGTGGAGAGTGATTTTTTTTTTTTTTAACTTTCAGTGACCGAATCAATATTCTCTCAAAATTATATTTTAAAAATTACATTCTGAGTTTGGGGTTGTGTCTCAGAGGTAGAGCGCTCGCCTAGCATTTGTGAGGCACTGGGTTCGATCCTCAGCACCACACAAAAATAAAATAAAGGTATTGTATCCATCTACAACTAAAAAAAAAAGTTACAATCTGATGATTAAACCAAGTAATTAGTTTTTTCCACCAAAAGAAATGCATTCTAAAAAGTTTGACCATCAATAAGAAAATGTTACATGACTCAAATTTTTTGCCCTTTTGCATTCTTTACTAGAAGATTCTTTTCTGTTTTTTTTTTTGTTTGTTTGTTTTTCTGTAACAAGTATTTCTCTTCCATTGCTCAGCTAGCAAAAACTGTCTTTATTCTTGGATCATGATTATCTATCACTGAGCTTTACAATTGCACTCCACAATCAAAAGGAGAGTTACTATTAACTATTAGTGGTGTTCTCTGATACTAGCACAGCATAACATTTTTTAACTAATTTTTTTAAGTTAAAGACCAAAACTATAAAAATTTGACTTTTGCCGTATAGTTAGATAGTTTATATTACTAAATATTTTTCTTAAAGCTCTATTAACTAAATCGGTTGGTAAATCAGAAAGGCATTGCAAATATAGAAAAGGTGGCTAAAACTCATAGGTCTGGGGGCTGGTCCTATCTAGCAGCACATCAACACTGTACAACAAAGAAGATACCTTCTTCACATCAGCTATCCGTTCCTTCTTGGATGCTGGCTTCTCTTTGGCTTCTGGAAGAACTGGTTGGGATTTGGAACCTGCAGATTCACTCTCAGATTCTGACTGACTCTCAGAAGATTCAGAACTGCTGTTCGACTCGCTCCCATGTCCACCTCCTGGATCACTGCCCTGCTCACTTTCCGATTGGCTGCCTGAATCTGAACCTGAAGCTTCTTCAGAGGCTGAATGACTTGATTCAAAAAGGGAGAGAAGAGAGACAGACACAGAGATTTAAGAACTGCCACATATATCTATATTTTTAAAAATTCACATGATAAAATATCAGTAGATAGTAAGTTTAGTAACATAAGAGCAAAATCCTCAAATTCATTTTTAAATGTTTATAACACAATGTTATTGATATTATTCAACAATCCCAACAGCTACCTCAAGTGCTTCTACGATGCTGTGTATCAGCTGATCTTAGATAGACTAGTTCTTTAACAAAGGCCCAAAGGTGAGCCAAGCACAATGACACATGCTCATAATACTAGATGCTCAGAAGGCAGAGGGAGGAAGACACAAATTTGAGATCAGCCTGGGCAACTTAGTGAGACCCTGTCTCAAAATAAAAATACAGAAAGGGCTGAGGATGTAGCTCAGTAGTAGAACAAAGTGGTCTTGGGTTTAATCCCTAGTATCAAAAAAATAAAAATAAGAAGGACCTGAAGATTGATACTGCTCCCTTTATTTTTTTATTACTATTAGTTGTTCAAAACATTACATAGCTCTTGACATATCATATTTCATACATTTGATTCAAGTGGGTTATGAACTCCCATTTTTACCCCGTATACAGACTGCAGAATCACATCGGTTATACATCCACATTTTTACATACTGCCATACTAGTGTCTGTTGTGTTCTGCTGCCTTTCCTATCCTCTACTATCCCCCCTCCCCTCCCCTCCCATCTTCTCTCTCTACCACATCTACTGTAGTTCATTTCTCTCCCTTGTTTTTTTTCCCTTTTCCCTCACTTCCTCTTATATGCAATTTTGTATAACAATGAGGGTCTCCTTCCATTTCCATGCAATTTCCCTTCTCTCTCCCTTTCCCTCCCACCTCTCATCCCTGTTTAATGTTAATCTTCTTCTCATGCTCTTCCTCCCTGCTCTGTTCTTAGTTGCTCTCCTTATATCAAAGAAGACATTTGGCATTTGTTTTTTAGGGGTTGGCTAGCTTCACTTAGCATAATCTGCTCTAGTGCCATCCATTTCCCTGCAAATGCCATGATTTGTCATTTTTTAGTGCTGCGTAATACTCCATTGTATATAAATGCCACATTTTTTTTATCCATTCATCTATTGATGGGCATCTAGGTTGGTTCCACAGTCTAGCTATTGTGAATTGTGCTGCTATGAACATCGATGTAGCAGTATCCCTATAGTACGCTCTTTTAAGGTCTTTAGGGAATAGTTCGAGAAGGGGAATAGCTGGGTCAAATGGTGGTTCCATTCCCAGCTTTCCAAGGAATCTCCATACTGCTTTCCAAACTGGCTGCACCAATTTGCAGTCCCACCAGCAATGTATAAGTGTACCCTTTTCCAAACACCCTCGCCAGCACTTGTTGTTGTTTGACTTCATAATGGCTGCCAATCTTACTGAAGTGAGATGGAATCTTAGGGTGGTTTTGATTTGCATTTCTCTGACTGCTAGAGATGGTGAGCATTTTTTCATGTACTTATTGATTATATGTCCTCCTCTGAGAAGTGTCTGTTAGGTCCTTGGCCCATTTATTGATTGGGTTATTTGTTTTCTTATTATTTAATTTTTTGAGTTCTTTGTATACTCTGGATATTAGGGCTCTATCTGAAGTGTGAGGATTAAAAATTTGTTCCCAGGATATAGGCTCCCTATTTACCTCTCTTATTGTTTCTCTTGCTGAGAAAAAACTTTTTAGTTTGAGTAAGTCCCATTTGTTGATTCTTGTTTTTAACTCTTGTGCTATGGGTGTCCTATTAAGGAATTTGGAGCCCAACCCCACAGTATGTAGATTGGAGCCAACTTTTTCTTCTATCAGATGCAGAGTCTTTGTTTTGATATCAAGCTCCTTGATCCATTTTGAGTTAACTTTTGTGCATGGCGAGAGAAAGGGATTCAGATTCATTTTGTTGCATATGGATTTCCAGTTTTCCCAGCACCATTTGTTGAAGATGCTATCCTTCCTCCATTGCATGCTTTTAGCCCCTTTGTCAAATATGTATATCAGCGACAAATCCTCTGAAATGGAAATGAGGAAAACCACCCCATTCACAATATCCTCAAAAAAAAATACTTGGGAATCAACCTAACAAAAGAGGTGAAAGATTTATACAATGAAAACTACAGAACCCTAAAGAGAGAAATAGAAGAAGGTCTTAGAAGATGGAAAAATATACCCTGTTCATGGATAGGCAGAACTATCATCATCAAAATGGCGATATTACCAAAAGTTCTCTATAGGTTTAATGCAATGCCAATCAAAATCCCAAGGGCATTTCTTGTAGAAATAGATAAAGCAATCATGAAATTCATATGGAAAAAGAAAAGACCCAGAATAGCAAAAGCAATTCTAAGCAGGAAGAGTGAATCAGGCAGTATAGCGATACCAAACTTCAAACTATACTACAGAGCAATAGTAACAAAAACAGCATGGTACTGGTACCAAAACAGGCGGGTGGACCAATGGTACAGAATAGAGGACACAGAGACCAATCCACACAAAAAAAAGACACTGCTCCCTTTAAATGATGTAAAACTGAAACTCAGAAGTATTTGTCATTTTCACACCTCCCTGACACAGAAAGTCCAAAAATCTGACCAATCTGAATCCACTATCTTATCTGTAAGAAAACTAAAGTGTGTACTACAAAGAGAAAGAATGCAATCTGGTTGCCATTATACTAATCAGTGGTTCTCCATAGGTGTAAACTAGACTCCTCTGAGGAGCTTTATAAAAATATATACACATTAATCCCAATCCAGAGGGGTCCTGCTTGCAAAAGGGGTATTGATTCTAATGTGACTGCCCAATACTGGCCTCTATACATTCCCCTCCCCTTCCTCACTCCAAACATCCCTCAAGGAAGAGGGAATTGAAGAATGTAGGTAACAGCTGAAACACAAGGTTCACAAACAAACAGAACATTCAGAGATGATAGAGTATCAACCTCAAGCTCAAAGACAATACATGTATATACTCAAGAATATAACTAATGTGACTCTGTAACCTGTACACTTGGAAAAATGAGAAATTATACCCCAAATTAAAAAAAAAGAAAAAGAAAAAGAAAAAGCATTTAGGCACCCTGGTAGAACTGAAAATACTTTAAAGTGATAAGAACTAAAATGGAGGAATTCAATGGCTAAAGAGATAAGATAGTTCTCTTTTTCTTGAAAACTATCTTTTCACAAGAGGGGCAGGGCTCAGCAAAGAAAGGCAGGCAAAACAAAAGCCAGAACCTAGAGTAACATTAACTTCTCAGAAAAGTCCTTGACTTTAGCAATTAGGAGGTAAGTCCTATGGCATGAAGCCTAAAAGAATAAAGAAGGGAAGCTTCATATTTACCAGCAAAGCAACTTCCAAACTAGAAATAAGATTATACCACTTAACAAATATGTATACAAAATTAATAGATTAGAACACTGGAAACTGGGATAGACCCAAATAACGCTGTGTGATCTATTATAAGCACAATTGAGTGCAGGAACCTTGCAGTTACCAAGAAGCAATGAAAAATAATGGGTAGGGGCTGTCTCTACCTAAAGGAGGGAAGAAAGGTGGGGAAAAATATAAACTGCCTGATTGCCTCATAGTTATAAGGCATAATTCTTTGCATGTATTTTATATGGACTTTATATGTATTATTTTGCTTATTCCCCAGAACCATACTATTGAGAGTTAGTATTAAGGAATGAAAAAACTGAGATGTTTTAAAATTTGACCAATGACAAAACTAGAAAATCTGAAGGTTATGGGGAGGGCAGATAATCCAAGACTAACTCAAAACCCACATATTATTTTGCCATAAGAAATAAAAACCTTAAAGACTCAAAGTAAATCTTATCCCTATTATAAAACGTCTCCAAAGATAAGACATCCCCGCTATGAGACTCACAACTTTTAAATTCTCATTATAATTATTGACTACTTAGCCCTTTTCAGATCAAGCTGACTAGACCAGCTAATTAAGACACACAAGTCCCTAACTCTATACCTGTGTACAATCAGAAGGCCATCACTAGGCAAGAGGGGAAAAAAATAAATAGAAAGAAAGCTGGACAATAACAGTTAAAAAGTACAGCCTCTGCAGGAGGATCACAACTTCAAAGGCAGCCTCAGCAACTTATCTAGGCCCTCATCATCGTGAGACCTTACCTCAAAATAAAAAGTAAAAAGGACTAGGGATGTGGCTCAATGGTTAAGTGCCCCTGGGTTCAATTCCCCATACCAAAAAAAAAAAAAAAATGCAGCTTCTGGCCAGACCCAGTGACACACACCTGAAAATCCAGCAACTCAGGAGGCTGAAGCAGATGGATGGCAAGTTCAAGGCCAGCCTGGGCAACCTGGCAAGACCCTGTCTCAAAAGAATGGGATGGGGAGGACTATGTAGACCAATGCTGAAACAACCCTAGGTTCAATACCCAGGGGGGTGAAAGAGGGTGCAATCTGAGTCTCTAGCATCTAGTTTTCATTCTAGTACTAGTGGTAGATTGCTCAGGCCTGCACCATCCTGTCATCTACCTGTAGAGTCATGAGACCATCAAATGATAGCTATAAAATCAATATTCTATAAATGCCAAAGCCTTATCCCAAAAGGCATATATTTAAGAATCTCACATCCAAGCTCAGATTTCATTCTCCACAGCTAACTAACTACTGGTGAGCCTATACCACAAAAATCCATGACTCACTGGAATTTGTTAGTTTTGCTTTCACCATTTGCTCACTAAAAGGTACAGAAGCTCCTGAGTTTTCTTATAAATTAAGGGATTCAGAAAGGGGAGTGTGTCTGAAAAGGATGTGAGGAGAACAACCTGAAAACTGCGCATATACAGCAAAGCAGCACAGTGCCTCAACGAAGTCAGATCAGAGAGCAGCTACCCTTGGCCTGGTCATTGTAACAGCAATCTCAGCATGCCCTGTAAAATCTGGCCTCTGACAATTCCTCAGACCCATCAGATAACAACTCCTGCCCACTGCTCCAGC